CACTATAGAAGTCAATAAATCCAAGGCAACAAACTGAAGCAATTGCAAATATCAAAGATGCATTTAAAATACACTACAACACATAAGTAGAGACACAGAACAAGGAAGCTTAGTGGAAATGTTCTGAAGCAATTAATCAAATTAAAAGGAACTTGAGTGGCACAGCTGGTTTGAGATCAGCTACTAACTAGAGATTGGTAGTTCAAACCCACCGAGCAGTTCTGTGGGAAAAAAGCCCTCACAATCTGCTTCCGTAAGGCTTACAGCGAAGAAAACCCTATGGAGCAGTGCTACTATGTAATAGTGAGTCAGGGGCCAAGTCAGCAGCAGCTAACAACAGTCAAAGCATCCCTTCTTAAATAAAAATTCTCTTCCATTGTTTACTGATTTTACAATCATATCCCACTGATGAAGCTTAATGTCTCTTTAACTGAAATAACTTCTGCTATTTAACAATGACTGTGCCAGTCTGTCTAGGTTCAGTAATATCTCCTAAACATTCTTTTGGTGTTTGAAATAAACATTCCTTGGGTCAATTTTTAATATAATTAAAATCATTATCAGTCACTATTAGTCTTCTGCCTGTGATAATGAGCCATGAGATGGCCAAAACCATTTGAATTTTCACTGTAGATTTTTATTTACAGAATCCCTGGATGGTGCAAATAGTTCAAACCCACTCAGGGACCCTCAGGGAAAAGGCCTAGTGATCTGCTTCCAAAAGCCACAGCCTTGAAAACCCTTTGACACATATGAGGTTGTCATGAGCTAGAATCGACTCGACTCAACAATTAACAACAATAAAATTTATATTTATATCTAAATAAATTCTAAAGTTGTCTATGTGGGGTGGGAGTACAGGGCAGCCCATATTTACGAAAGACTATGATGTTCAAATGTGAAAACAACCCAATTTTGTAGCTCTTGTTGTTGTGAAGTGCCATCGAGTCAGCTCCAACTCATAGTGACCCTATACAGGGTGAAGAGCAGCTGATGAATTTGAATCACCAACCTGTGTTTTGCAATCCAGTGCTTATCCTACAGCGCCACATCAGGAGTAATAGCAAAAGCTAGATAAGGAGCTCTGGTACCATAATGGTTATGAATTGGGTTGCGAACCTCATGATCAGCAGTTCGAAACTACCAGCTGTTCCGTGGGAGAATGATGAGGCTTTCTGCTCCCGTAAAGATTTACAGCCTTGGAAACCCTGTACAGGGTCACTGTGAGTAGGAACCGACTCCATGGCACATAACAACAACAACATCTTCACGATATCCTACAAAGGCCTGAAAAAAGATCACAGTACAAGCTCTCACCCCCACTTCTTCCAGTTACCACTTACTCAAACAGATCGCAGTATCTCACCAGTAAGTAGAGTGCAACCCAGTCATGTTTACGGAAATAAACAATAGATGAAAACACATGAAAGTGCAGAGTAGCTACCTAGGAAAGGTGGAATTATGGATGTTTTCATTCTTCATGCTTTAAAACATTTCCAATAACTCCACTTCTAGAAATTTGTTTTTAAGGTTCAGCATTAGAAGATTAAGTTAATGTCACTTCAAAACTAGAGCACAGTACAGTGTAAACAGAGACTATTTAACAGTGGTAATATTTGTTATGTTTTAAAATCAAGTTACAAAACAGTATCTATAAAATGTTATACATTTTGTTGAAAAAGGATACATCTAAATGTAAACAGTATTAATTTTAGTAGAGATTAGAAGTGATTTGCATAGTCTTTCTATTCTCTAAGGATTCCTAAAATTCAAAGCACATCATTTGTATAATGAGAAATTTGCAAATAACCATTTTTTAAAAAAGAACAATTAGAAATAAAGTAAAAGCAACTGCAAAATGTAATCATTTCACTAACCTGAAACAGATGCCATTCTAAAGGTGCGCTGGAGATTCAAATTTCTTTCTACAAATGAAAGAATATGTAAAACATTAAAAGAAAAAAACATGTTGGTAATATTCAGTCAATGATAACCTGTCACTAGAAAGTACACACAAAAAGTTAGAAAGTAAACTACATATTGTGGTGGTTACATGCCGTAGAGTCGGAACAGACTCATAGTGACCCTGCATAGGGTTTCTGAGGCTGTAAATCTTTACAGGAGCAGAAAGCTTCATCTTTCTCCCGCGGAACACCTGGTAGTTTCAAACTGCTGACCTTGCTGTTCACAGCCCGATTCGTAACCAGAGCTCCTTATTGTAGCAATCCTTTAAATAAAGATCACACCATTTTTTCCCACACTAACTTTTATGGAAATTTTTCTATGTTTATAAGTTTCCAAAAGTACATAAACATAGACAAGACAGGTACAATGTTATACCTTACCAAACGTCTACTAGATACAAACTGTTTTTGTTGCTGTTGTTAATCCCTGTGGAGTGTAGCCTTGGTAAAATTAGCCACCCTGTTCCTCTAACTCTCTTTTCCTACCTGCAAGATTGGGATTATATAATTACTTTATAACAAATGTCAAACGTAATTTGGATAGGTTAAAATTCCCCCACATTAAGCAAAATCCATCTACATTATCAAATTAATTAACATTTTATCCACACAACTTTATGAGTTAAACTCAATTTTAAAGGATTAATTGGCATTTTATCAAGGAGTTAGATTTCAGAAAGAAAACAGAAATGTCAGAGAGGTGGGGCACTGGGGGATATAAAGGACTAGGCAGTTAGCAAACTCCCCAGCTGCTCCTTGGGACCCCTTCACGGGGTCGCTAGTAATACTGGTGCGGCACTGTAGGATAAGCACTGGACCACAAGGTCTGTTTGAGCAGCTATATCTGCGTTTCCAACTCACCAGCCGCTCCTGGAAAACCGTATACAGACTCACTATGAGTCCAAACCGACTCAGCATCACTTAACATGAGTCAGAACCGACTCCATAGCACTTACCAACAAATAACTAAAACTTAGAATGTACATGGGCAAATTAAACGGTGATTAGGTTTGAGAGTGGGAGCTGTAGATTTCCCATTATTTCCATAAACACCTACTCTCAACTCTGATATGGATCCAAACTAAACCAAACCACTGCCATAGAGTTGATTCTGATGCATTATGCTTCTGTTGTTGTTAAGTGCCCTTGAGTTGGTTCCAACTCATAGTAACCCTTTATAGGATTTACAAGGAGCGATTGGTAAACTTGAACCGCCGACCTTGCAGTTCAAACCCACTTTGCAATCCACGGCATTAACCCACACAGAGTAAAACTTATTCATAGGTTTTCCAAAACTGCAAGGCAGCTATGTAGGATAAATACTGCACTGAGAGCGAAGTACAAAATGGCAATTCGAGCCCACCAGCCACTCCACAGGAGAAAGGTGATGCTTTCTGCTTCCGCAAAGATGTACAACCTCAGAAACACTCTATAAAGTCATTAACATCTTTATGTAGTAAACTGTCACATCTTTCTGTACGTTCCACCCACCTTTTGGGTAGTAGTCAAGCACTTTAATCACTGTGCTACCAGGGCTCCTCTGATACAATCAACACTTAACAAAACTTAGAATGCTCTCCAATGGTAGCTTCAGCATCACCCTGTTGTTGTTAAGTGCCATTGAGTCGGTTCAAACTACCACCCTACCCTTACCCAAACTACTAGTGCAATTCTTACATATTATTCTGGAAGTCACTCCTAGTCTGGAACACAAGCTGGCTGGTGTGGCGCTGTAGGATAAGCACTGGACCTCTTAACTGTAAGACTGATAGTTCAAATCCACCAGCTGCTCCTCGTAAACCCTATAGAGGGTCGCTAAGAGTCAGAACCGACCCAACGGCATTTGACAGCAACATGGAGATTTAAATGAGGAGTAGGGCGCTTCTGAAGGAGCTCTGGTAGCGTAGTGGTTACGAATCGGGCTGCAAACCTTAAGGTCAGCGGTTCGAAACTACTAGCCGCTCCGCGGGAGAAAGATGAGGCTTTCTACTCCCGTAAAGATTTACACCCTCGGAAACCCTGTACAGGGTCGCTATGGGTCGGAACCGACTCGATGGCACTTAACAACAACAACAACAGGGCGCTTCTGACCCAAACATTGGTATTTTCAATCCTAGTGCGGTGCTACAGAATAAGCACTGTATTGCAAACCACAAGGTTGACGGTTCAAACCCACCAGCTGCTCCTCGTAAACCCTGTACAGCTATGAGTTGGAAACGACTCGATAGCACTTAACAATAACAATATACGCATGTGTTAAATTGGACGAACGTTGGAAGAAGCACCGTCATGATGTTTTCCAATCAAAGCAGGCTACCAATAAACAGGGAGGAGCCCCAGTGGCACAATAGCTAAAAGCTCATCTGCTAACTGAAAGAGAAGTTGGCGGTTGAAACTTAACAGTCGGGAGAAAGATGTAGCAGTCTGCTTTCCTTAAGATTACACCGTTGGAAACCCCATAGGGCAGTCCTCTGTCCTATGGGGTACTATGAGTTGGAATCCACTCAACGGCAATCGTAAAAAGGAAAGATCAAATGAGGACACAACCTTGACGCTTCAAAGCTGTAAAAGGAGTCACCACCAGAACTCTGCCCACTGGATTAATGGAGCACCTCCAACTCCCCGGTCTCTATCCCCCAAAGCCCCCGGCCTATAGCATACTACGCACCCTATCAGCCGCTCTCCTATAAGATCTTCCCGCCACCAGGATTTCCCCGTTTCCTAGTCCAGAGACTCTACCCTTCCGGGTCGGTCCCTTCTACCAATCGTAAATAACACCCTTCTCTAATTGGCCCAGGGGTGTGGCCGCGAAGAGTGTCACCAAACAAGACCACCGACGATTGGGTTAAATTGGAAACTGACTTAGCCAATGAGAAGCTGTTTTGGAGCTAGGGTTGGGGTGGCTGCGTGTTTCCGGAAGACGTGGCGGCTCCAGCCTGGGTGGCTTTTCTGACTCCTTTCTCCAGATTCCGCTTCCCATCCCGCGCTCTCGGTGGTGTTGCCACCTCATCCGCTCCTGCCGCTGCCATCACCACTGCAACCATGATCTCCTTAACCGACACCCAGAGTAAGCTCAGGCTCCGTAGCCACCGCCTGCCCCACCTCGCTCGAGCCCCCACACCCCTCGCTCGGGCTGGGTCTCGCCGGTCCGCCCCTCCGCCGGAGCAATGAATGAAGTTGCGCGTTGCGGGCGGCGGCCTGCGAGACTGAGCGGAGGCTGCGGGAGCTAGGAAGCTGCCACGATCCGGCGGGTGCGGGACTTGCTGTGGAGGATGTGGTCTTGGGGGAGAGGTGGGGTCCGGGGAGACGCCCGAACTGGGAAGGAAGCAGCTCGGGGTCGCACGGCGCCGCGCTCTCCCCCCAGGTGAGAGGGACGCTTTGTTCCCGGGGCAGCTGGCCGGAGAAAGTGCTCTGTCCCCGCGGCCCGCCCTCGTGGGCGTTTCTGCAGGTGACAGACTCGTGCGCCTCTACAAGTCTGCTTTAAAATTGTCACCTGCTGTAGGCTCGCTTTGGGAAAATGTTAAATATTTGCTTTGCCACCATTGGAAGCAATCTTCCAAACATCTCTTGAAACGAGTTCACTTTTCTACCCTCTAACAAGTGTTTCAACCGATAGTTAAAAATCAGAAGTCAAAACACTGTATTCAGTTCAAAGGATTTCATTCGTTAATGTTGTATACTGTGTTTTATTAAAATTCTTTCTTCCTGCCACAGACTTCTCCAGGCCTTTCTTATCTCTAATGTTAGCATTGATGTTTCGTTTACTTTAGATATAAATTTCTGGGTTTCTACCCCTTTTTGTCTTAATAAGTTTAACTGACTCGACGGCACTTAACAACAAATCCAACCCTGTGTTTCCTTATCTTTTGATGGACATAATCAAAAGCGCTGGGGGATCAGCACTGGACTGCAAACCACAAGACCCAAGTTCAAACCCACCTCGGAAACCCTACACAGGGTCACTATGAGTCGAAACTAACTGGACTGCACTTACCAACAGCAATGCTTTAAATTTGCTGCCACTTTCTTTTTCCAGTTAACTTACTCAGATAGTCAAGATTTTAAACATCAATCTACTGGAGAAAAAAATAGAATTTGAATTTAAATGGTGTTAAGTGCCATCGAGTTGGTTCCAACCCGTAGCAACCCTGTATATATAGGGCTTCCATGGAGCGCTGGTGAGCTTGAACCGCTAACCTTTTAGTTCTAACCGACTTTGCAGTTCAGCGCATTAACCCACAGCACCACACCAGGATTCCCTGTTTTAAAGTGTAGTCTTACAGTTGTAGATTCAAGTCGTACCTGGCTTGAATTTAAGAGTTGTTAAGCCTGCCTGGAACCATTTCATTCTGGTTCAGTCCCTTGCTGATAATTTGCGTTTCCACCCCAGAGAAGTTAAAGCCATCTACAAGATTCCAAAGTGGTTTATATGTACCAGGGGACATCAAAAAATGTGTTGGAGAATGGAAATTTAAAAATGATACAGTATTCTCATGAAGCTTCCACACATACATATGGAGAAGCCCCATTCACCCTTTCCAAACTGAATGTGAACTGAGCCTGCACCTTGCATTATATGCTTGTTTTGGTTGGGTTGGCCTTGTTCTGAATAGAGAAAAAATAAATGTAAATACATAAGTACAGATTTTCTGTGGCGGTGGGGATCTACTGTTATTACAATAAAAATTTTTTCTTAGTTTATCAGCTGCTTTCATATAAATCATTACACTTAATTCTTTCAGGAGCCCTTTGAGGCAGGCAGGAATGTATTTCTTTTATACATTAAATGAGTCTCAAAGAGATTCAATGTATATTCATAAAGAAAATGATAGGCTAGATTCTGCTAGCCCAAAAACCGCATATTTCACTGTATTACATTGGTGTCTAAGAATGGTTAATATATAAACTCTTAACATCTTCCATAGCAAAAATCAGTAGTAGATATTATTTCTTGATTGAAATCTAAAATTAGAATTAAGGTGTCCAAGGATGTTGTTAAGTGCTTTGGAGTCGGTTCCAACTAATAGCGACCCTGAGGAGCAGCTGGTGAGTGTGATGCACCAACCGTGCTGTTCACACCAGCCTTAAGGTCAACACTAGCAGAGTCATAGACATAAATTGTTAGAATTGATTCCTCATGCTACTTGTAAAGAATAATGACTTAATCTCTATGTAGTTTTCCCATCTAACTATCATTCTGTCTTAGTTTATAATTATTAGATTTTTTTTTTTTTTAACATACTCTTCTGTTTGTGGAGTCCTGGTATGATACTGTAGGATAAGCACTGGACCACAAGATCAGTCTGAACTGCAAAGTCACCAGTTCAAACTCACCAGCTCACCCCTTGGGAATCCTATATAGGGTTGCTGTAAGTTGGAACCAACTTAATAACAACAATCCTGTTTGTAGAGAGTCTTTTCTATTGAAGACTTACTATAAGGCCAAGTACCCAATTTACACTCATCCAAAATCCAGAACAAGGGCACATGGTTGGGTTATGGCCAGAGTAGGAATCATTCATTTCATTACATTGATGAGGAAGATAAAATTTTACTCTTCACTGCTTACTTGCCAAATGTTGCAATATAAATGTTTAGTGAGCTAAAAATTTGTTATCTTTCAAACTGTGTTTGTGTGTGTGTGCTTAACACTGCAGAAATTGTTCAAAAGTGTTTTGCCATGGTTATTCTGGGGTTCTGAATGTGGGAGAGGGTTACCAAACCTTGACAGTAAATAAATAACAATACATGATTGTTTTAAGGGATTCTATGATAGCACTCACAAACTCCTAAAAAATCAAGATTTATTGAGGAATCCTGGTGTTGCACTGTACAATAAGCACTAGACTGCTAACCACAAGATTGGCAGTTCAAACCACCAGCCACTACATAGGGACATACAGAGTCCCTATGAGTCAGAACCAACTTAACTATTGAACCAACTCAATGGCACTTTAACAGTTGAGGTAGGAGGACTTCCCAAGCTTCCTCTACGTCTAGATTGCCTGAAACTACCCTAGCATTCATTTGAATTAAAAAGAGGTGTGTTGTGGGGTTTTGTTTTGTTTTTTTCTTAATGTATCCCTATTTTTCTAATAGCACAGGCAATGCTGCCATTAAAAAAAATTTTTTTTAATAAGATACCAAAGTGATAACAGTAATTGTCATTGGTGATGAAATGATTCTTTCCTTACAAATTTACATAATGAGTTATAAATTGAACAGACTTATTAGATTCTTTTTTAATATTTTTGTGAGCAGATGGAATAAAGATCTGCTCTGGTGGTAGTATAGTGGTCGCTTTGAACTGCAGTCAGCAGTTCAAATCTACCAGCTGTTCCTCAGAAACCCTATACAGGGTCACTATGAGTCAGAACCAACCTGCCCGTACTTACCTAACACCATAGGATTTCCAAGGAGCAGCTGATGGGTTTGAACTGCTGCCCTCATGGCTTGCAGTCCAGTGCTTACCCTTCAGTGTCACTCTAGGAGTCAACTGCAAATTTTCTTAAAGGCATTTAAACATGGAAGCATCTGCCTCAAATTCTCAAGTTTTTATAGGAATTGTGTCTGGACTATACTGACAGGTGTACCTGAATTTTTCTAGGCTTATTTTCAAAGAAAGGAATAACTAGGATGGAAGGTAGTACAAATTGTAACCCCCCACCCTGCAAAAAAAAAAAAAAAAAAGCAAGCTTCTATAGGTTTCTTAGAGGCAGACAGTGTCATCTTTCTGCTGCTGGTGGGTTTGAACCACCAACTTTGTGGTTTGTAGCCAATGCATGCTTTACAGCACCACCATGGCTGTTGAGGAGATGGTGAATATAGAAAAAGGTAAAGGTACCCAAAATTTCAAGTCAACAAACCAATTTGGATGGTTAAGGTTTTTGTTTTTTTTTTTAAAGCAGATACAACCCAGACTGTAGCTTTCTGGTGCTAAGGCATAGAAGTTAAATAACATCAGAAATCATTAATAATGACTTAAAATTGCTTCCAAAAATACAGAGGCTTATGCTCTGACTCATCGTCTGCACTCGGAAAGTGTTTCTAGATAAAATAAGCATTGATTAAAGAGGTGACTCGGTGGATTGTTTAGTGGCATTCATAGAAGATTCCACTGTGGCCTCTGAAGATTAAGGTTCTTGAAACTAAAAAGATGCAGTCTAAAGAAGGACTGTAAAGTCACTACAGCCATTGAACTTACTATAATGTGAATGTAGACTTCAAGGCTTACACTGTGTCCAGTCCCTGGAACCACTGCAGGCATCTGGAAGTTAATCAATAGCTCTTTGCTTCTGAATGAATGAATAAATGCTGAGAATATTAATATTAGGTAACATAGTTTTCTTTGAAATTTTTAGTACTCATTAGACTAAATATATTAAAAATATGTCATCCATGAGAAGTTAAAAGTGATGTCTGACCTTCTGAAGATTGATTTTTGGAAAGACCACCACCATAGTCCTCTAACTATTTCTTGTTATCGTTGTTAAAAGGAGTGTCTAGTTGAGTGAAGAATGTTATATGACCTACCACACAGTAGCATTTCTGATAGGCTAAAAAGAAGGAACTGATTTTCAGAGACAGAATTCCTTAACTCCAGATAGTATATCTAAATGATAGTTATTAGGTTATGAATGGAGACAAATCTTGTTTGAAAAAAACCCCATATAATCATGTTAGATGTCAGAGTGGTTCTTGTGAAAGAAAAACATATAACCAAAGGTTTAGAATCCTGTTCCCAATTTTTCTATACCTATGCTTGTGAAATATGCCTTTTTTCCTGTAAGGATAGACATTTCTATTCATATTTTAAATTTTGAGGTAATTTGTTCATGTGAATTTAATTTGTTTTAGATCTCAGTGAATGTCCTTAGGAGTTAGCTTGCTATGTTGGGGCTCTATTCCCTTACATTGGTTCCAAGAAAACTGATAAATTTTCTTACTCAGCTTACAGGGATCTTAATGTGACTTTAATTTTCTCTACCCCTAACCATATAACTTATATTGCAGAAATTGGAATGGGATTAACGGGATTTGGAGTGTTTTTCCTGTTCTTTGGGATGATTCTATTTTTTGACAAAGCACTACTGGCTATTGGAAATGTGAGTTTTTAAATATACATTTTAACTAAATTCATAAAGAAATTTAAGTGCAAATGAATAATTACATGATAGAAATAATTCCATTACTGCTTTTAAGTGTCCTTGAGTCTATTCTGACTGATAGGGTTTCCAAGGAGTGGCGAGTGAGTTTTTACCACCAACCTTGCAGTTAGCAGTCCAGTGCTTATCCTACAGCACCACACCAGGACTCTCCATAGTTATTTATTGTTAAGTGCTGTAGAGTCCGTTCTGACTCACAGCAACCCTGTAGCGGATTTCCAAGGAGTTGCTGCTGGATTTGAACCGCTGACCTTGTGGTTAGCAGTCAAGTGCTTCTCCTATAGTGCCCCACAGTTATTAGTAGGTAAAAATTTCCTTTATTTTCTCTATTAATATCAAGAGTGAAACCTGTCAGTTTTCCATTTAAATAAAAGGTAAACAAAATCTCACTAAGAATTTGATATATGATTTACAGTAGATTAAGTGAAGAAACTCATTGCCATTTCATTGATTCTGATTCATCATGACCCTGAAGGACAAGTAGAACTGCTCCATAGGGTCTTCAAAACTGTGGATCTTTATGGAAGCAGGTTCTCCCAAGGAACGACTGGTGGGTTGGAACTAGACTATGGAGGATTTGATAGTGTCCCTTTACCATGGTGTGGCGTATGTCCTGGTGTGACACTGCAGGATAATGTGCTGCACTGCAAGGTCGGCAGTTCAAACTCACCAGCCGCCCCATGGAAACCCTTATACAAGGTAGCTATGAGTCACAAACGACTCGACAGCACTTAACAACAGGAGTATCTTGGTAAATTTAAAAAAATATTTGACATTCAACACAATTCAATAATACAAGATAAACCATTTCTGAAAATTTTTTAAACCTTTATATGTTTTCCTATTAATTTTTGATGTGTTTGAATAGGTATATATATTATTTGAAATGTGTACTATACCATACATGAATATTAATTATTTGAAATATGTATTGTGCTATAAATAAATGTATACTTTCTAAGACAGTCACTAATAACACAGATACGTATTTTAAAGATTTAAAATGTTTTAAAAACTGTTTATCTTATGTCAAATCAAATGTGGAATCTCAGGTGTTTAATGTCAAATATTCAAACAAATTTACCAAAATATAGGGGCTAGCTATCAAATCCTCTGTTTTGAACTCCATTTAGAGGTAACCTTAAGTTCCTCTCAGAAGCCCTGGTGGTGCAGTGGTTACGTGCTCAGTTGCTAACTGAAGGGTTAGAAGTTCAAACCCACCACCCATGCCATGGGAGAACCATGTGGCAGTCTGCTTCCATTAAGATTTGTCATCTGGAAACCCTATGCTATTCATTTGTAGCTGCTGGAGAAAGATGAGGCTTTCGGCTTCCATGAAGATTTAAAGCCTCAGAAACCCTACACAGGGTCGCTGTGAGTCAGAACTGACTCAAGGACAGCACTTAACAACATCAACAACATTCCTTTGTAGAGGTTGTTAAGAGTTACAGGAAAAAATAATATCTCTTTTAAGAGGGTGTTAGAAAGTCACTGGAAAATGATTGAATATCTAAAATTGTTTTTTTAATAAATGATCATATGAAACAACATTGGTACTTCTGACTATAAAATATTTAACCTTTAAGCTTAATGTATACTTATATGAAATATTTCCCGTTAAAGAAAATTAATGAGTGAGAGCAAGTGTTTGAGAAAAAAGCATGGGAATAAGCAAGCTTTTGTAAGTTACCATTTCTTGTCCACTGTGATAACATACAAAGTATATGTATATTTGAGAATACGTGGCTGAATTCTTATTTCTACTGCCACTAGTTTCTCTGGAATTAATAGAACAGCATTGAATCTTCTTTCCTGGCCTTACATGGTTTCCTCTTCTGTCAGCTTGGCCATGTCAGTGTATCCCCATCCATAGGACCAGTCCTCTTTATGCCTTTCCACTCAGCTGCTTGATTTAGCTGTCCCCATCCAGCTAGAATTGGGCAAACTACAGAAGATGCAGATGCCCTATGGTAAAGCCTAATCTTTCCTTCTTTCTCTTTTTCTCCATTAATTCAAGATAGAAGAAGAGCTAGAAGAGTGGAATGCAACTACAACTCTCACATTTTTAATCCACTTCTTGTATGATTCTTGGTTTTGTATTATAGTTTGCTCCCTAGCCAGTTAACCCACTTTAAAAACCAAACAAATGTGCTTCTTTTTATTATATTTAGCTTGGATCCTGCTTTTCAAATGTATTTTAACTTTTTTTATGTTGCATTTTCTTTCTGTTTTAGGTTTTATTTGTGGCAGGCTTGGCTTTTGTAATTGGTTTAGAAAGAACATTCAGATTCTTCTTCCAAAAACATAAAATGAAAGCTACAGGATTTTTCCTGGGTGGTGTATTTGTAGTCCTTGTTGGTTGGCCTTTAATAGGCATGATCTTCGAAATTTATGGTTTTTTTCTCTTGTTCAGGTAAGACCATCGTGTTTTTTATTTCTTCTTTCAATAAATTGTAATGTCAGATTATGGTTACAAACCAAAACAAACCTATTGCCATCAAGTCAGGTCCAATTCATAGCCGCCCTATAGGACAGATTAGAACTGTCCTGCCCCATAGTGGTTCCAAGGCTGTCATCTAACAAAGTCAGGCTGCTACGTCTCTCTCCCAAAGAGCAGATGGTAGGTTCGAACCACAACCTTTTGGTTAGCAGTCCAGCACTTAAACCACTGTACCATATGTATCCTTTATTATTATAAAGATCCAGCTATTTGCATTAGTATGAGTAAGGACACAGTTGTTCTCTTAAAGGATTTTTATTTAGATTGAATCTTTTACTATAAGTTATACCATTTAGTCATCAATAAAAATTTTTATCAAATGCAGATGATTGCCTAAGTAAGGGAATAAGTAGTCTTGTAAAGTAGTTGCAGTGCAGTAAAATTCATTTTATTGGCATTTTCTAGCACTGCCTTTAATGTAATGCTTACATCAACTAAGCAGTTATAGAAAAAAAATGGACAGTAGATCTAGCATTTTAATGCAGAGAACTTTATTCTGAAAGTTATTGCCATGTGTTGTTACAGCAGATATATAATAGAAAAATTTATACCAAACGTACCATGGGAGATTTTGAACAGTTAACATAATGCAAATGCTAATTACCAAGCAAATAAACTAATAATAACACGATAAGATCCCTCTTAGTAAAGCTGGTCTTAATTATTTCACAAAATGTATGTTCTGTGCCTTCTATCATTCAAATACTATATTACTTGCTGTACTAAACCTGGTACTTTGGGGGATTTCTTATTTCTAATGCAGGAAGTAGACGTATACCAATACCAGTTGTTAAGTGCCGTTGATTCATTTCTGACTCAGTGACCCAGTAGAGGGTTTCCAAGAAGCGACTGGTGTGTTTGAACCACCAACCTTGAGGTCCTGCACTTATCCTTATCCTACAATGCCACAACAGGACCAGATACCAGTAGGATATAACATTAATGCCATTCCAGTGGTATAAATATTATAAGGGTGTGATTAAGATAGGGATTATATCTAGTAAAAACGAAAAAAATATTAACTGGTAAACTGGACCTAGAAAAATGGGTGGGAATTCATTCTATAAATTTTAGAGGGAAAGATAGTTAACTATACAGAGTGTGTTGATGTTGAATTGGTCCTGACTCAGGGTAACCCCATTCACAATAGGATCTGACCACTGTCAGATTGTAGGATCGTCATTGGCTGATTTTCAGGAGTAGATTGCATGCCTTCCTTCCTAGTCTGTCTTAGCCTTGAACTCTGCTGAAACCTGTTCAGCGCCAATGCAAACCATCACTAACAGACAAGTGGTGGCTGCATTTAAGGTGCCCTGACCAGGAGTCCAGTCCAGTTAGTCTACTTAGAAGATGAGAATTCTACCACTGAACACAAGGGAGCTTCAGAAAGTTTTTGGCTCCTCAAGCCCATTCATGTACACGCTCCTTCTAGAAATGAGGCAGGAACCTATAATGAATGGAATGGAATATTTAGAGATGAGACTGTAAAGGAATTTTGGAGCCAGGCTTATTAAGAAAATTATGTTGTATCCTATAAGCAGATGTGATGCACAGACTTCAGAGGTCCCATACAGTCTGAGTATTCCTATCTTCTGTATCCACAGTGGTTGGTGAAGAAGTCATAGAGATTTTTACGTTACAAGTGATATAACCAGTCAAGTGTTTTAGATAAATTGTTCTAATATCAGAATAAAATGTGTATTGAAAAGAGAAAGTGGGCAGGCATGGAAGCCTGTTAAGAGGCTATTGATGTAGTGTGATAAAATTGGAATCTTGAAAAACTCATAACAGAGTTAACTCTTAATGCTGGAATCAGGAGCAAAGACCAAAACTAATCTTTAGAATGAGCAAAGAATGAGAAATCTTTATCGGTAAGTCTGAGGTTAAGTTAAAAAGTACTGCTAGGGTTCTGATGCAAGCATACATGGGTTATTCTAAACAAAATATGTTTAAACATGCTTCTGTGACCAGTGGATGGCTTCAGACAAGTTCTTTCTATAATATACTTCTCTTTGTCTTGTTGGAGTACTGATATGTGACTTTGCAGGATAGGAACTTAACAATTAGATCAGTTTGAACTGCAAAGTTGGCGGTTCAAATTCACCAGCCGCTCCTTTGAAACCCTATACAGGGTCACTATGAGTTGGAACCAATTTGATGGCACTTAACATAAGCATAACGTCTCATAGTGTACCTTCAAAAAAAAAAAAAAAAAGGGTCCAGTCAAAACAGTTGTTTCCAAAGGAATTTTGCTGGTCAGTAAGTTCAAGGCAGAGAGGCCAGCACAGAAAGTTATGATGAAGTCACAGGATGACCACAGAGGCTTATTGTGAAGAAGTATTAAGAAAATTGAAAATGGCATTGATGAGAGAGGAAAAACAAAACAAGCAGGTTGCACCAATGAGTTTTTTCCCCTTCACAACAATGCACCTGCTCATTCAGTTCCCAGGGTAGCTAGGACTGTCCTACAAGAATTTAGTTGAGGAACTTTACCCCATCCACTCAGCATCCCTGATCTTGCCCCTTTGCTTTAGGCTACTTTTTACTCCCAAAACACAAAGAGTGTTGAAAAGGAACATGATTTGAGTGTCACTGTGGGTTAATGCACAAGGCTGCAATGCTATTTGAACTACAAGGTTGGCAGTTCAAACTCTGCAGCCGCTCCTCAGAAACCCTCTATAGGGTCGCTATGGGTCAGAACCGACTCGATGGCATTTAACAATAACAACAGGATGTCAGAATTGCTGTTTTGTCATGGTGTTAATCCCAGAACACAGAATTGTCCGGGGAAGGGTCAGATGGAAGCGCCACCTGCAGAAGTGTATAGATCTAGATGGAAGATATGTTGGTAAACACTATCTGCATGTTCACATTTTTGTTCAATAAAGTTTTCTATGATTTTGCAGCAGTAATACTTTTTTACTTACCCTTGTACACTTGGAAAAGTACGATAGCTTCATGGAGGTCTTTAGAGAAAGGTTGATAGAAAATTCCTTTTTTTGTTATTTTGTTATAAAAAATTCCATTTTCCTTTGATTCCATTTTCCATGAGCTTTTTGAAGCTCCTTTGCCATCAGTTAAGAACTACTTTTCTAATAAGGAGCCCTGATGGCGTTGTAGTATGAACACTGGGCTTCTAGCCGCGAGACCAGAAGTGCAAGCTTACCAGCCACTCTGTGGGAGAACGATGAGGCTTTCTAGTATCATAAACCTTAAGAGTCTTGGAAACCCTATGTCACTATGAGCCAGAATCAACTTGATGGCATTGGGTTTGGTTTGCGTTTGTAAAGTTTTTAACAACAAACATTTTTTGCTTTCTTTTAACTTACTTTATATTTTTTCACTTGGATTTTCTTAATTTAATTTTACTGCTACCTGTGTGAATGTTCTTCCCTGTATGCCCCATTTTGGGGTTCCCAGGTGGTATAGTGAGCTCAGCTGCTCACTAAGGGTTGGTGATTTGAGTGTCCGCAGACGTGCCTCAGAAGACAGGCCCAGTGATCTACTTTGGATGAGTCAACAGAGTCAACTGCTGAAAACGGAAGCCGTTTCCACTCTTGACACACATGAGCTCGCTATGAGTTGGAGTCTGTTTTGGGGCCTAATTTTGATTCAGATAAAGCTCATTTTCTGTGCTTACTTAAATAAATGTTTTTTGTTCTTCCTATATTATTGTTTGTGAATGCCATCCAGTTGATTTCAATTCATAGCAACCCTGTATCGGGTTTCTGAGGACCAGCTGGTGGGTTTGAACCACCAACTTTGTGGTTAGTTGTCTAGCATTTATCCTACAGCAGTTGATCCATAGTACATTTTAAACTGGTTAGAAGCTGTCTTTCTTCTGTGGGCGTACATTTTGATCCAAAGATGAGACTTAATGTGAAGTTAGTAAATGACAACTACTATTATTTTTATAGTCCTTCCCATATCTTCTCTCCATCCCTTTTCTTTTGGTCCCTTTAACCCCACACAATTTACCGTAGTTACGGAAACAGTCAGCACATGACCTGAGATAATTGGTTAACCTGAGCATATCGCATAGCTTGACCTTAAGTTCTTCTCCAGTTTTTACCAATCACGTTTTCTAATGAAGTGTGTTATATTTCATAATTCTGATTTTGACATCTCTGAAGCATTCAAGATTTTCACAGGATACTTAATTTTTATGTCATTAGCAATTTATTATTATTTATTTTGGGGTTTTTTTTGCAATGCATTTTTGTGGTAGAGATATGTAAGTTCTAAGAATACTTTTTCCTTTTCCTCTTTCAGGGGATTCTTCCCTGTAGTTGTTGGATTTATTAGAAGAGTGCCAGTCCTTGGATCCCTCTTGAATTTACCTGGAATTAGATCAGTAAGTAACTATGTACTTAGCATTATGTTTTTGAAACCATCAAAATTAATACATTTTGCTGCTGTTTACTTATGGATTGATACTTGATTGAATAATATGTAGCTTTTTGATCATATAAATGTTGACATCACATAGTTCATGGTTACCATGAATACCAGAAAAAAATAATCATCACTAAATGTATAAAACCTGAACTTGTATTTCACTGCATCCATTTTTAATATTGTTCTCTGTTTTAACTGTTACTCCAATTAATATACAATACTACTTTTCTTTTTTGAGAATTCAAGGTATTTTTTGAGTAACTTTCATAAGATCTCTAATTTCAGAAACAATAATATAAAAAGGACACAGTTTGTTTCCTTGCAAGTATTTTCTCAGACTGCATCACCGAGTGGATTAAAACAGTAAAAACAGAAGATTGTCATGCTCTGATTCAGGATGATATGATTCTGTTCCCAACTCTGTCCACAACTTCAACATCTGGTTTCTCTAGGGTGGGCCTCAGTTTCTGTCCTGATAGAATGAAGAGTATCAATTTTTTTAATTTAGCTAATTATAAAGGCTGAAGAGAACGTTTTAAAAATTGACAAGTGAAGGTTCTTCCCTTCATTCAGTATTCATTCAGCAAATGCTTGATACTAACCTACTATCTCTAGAGGAGGTTCACAAGACCTGTCAGGTGAAGTTAACCCATTACCTTCTCAGAAAAAGCATTCCTGACTCAACTATAACTGGCTTGGGTGGCATTTCTACAGTGTACTGTGCACACAAACTGCTCAGCACTGCCTCTACTTTGGTTGTCAGGAAATAAGCTTATATGTAAAGTATTATAGCCCTTGAGGGCAGAAACAGACTGTATTTTAGTTACTGTCTATTCTCAGTGCCTAGCATAAAACCTTAGCACATAGTAGACACTCAGGACATTTTTGCTAAATGAATGAATGAAGGATGGCATTTCATGGACTTCAAGATTTCCAGCTGACTTTCTTTTCACCTAAATCCTTAAATTTCAAAATTAAACTAAATCCTTAAATTTCACAAGCGTCTGGGTAGTCTGGAATTCAGCTGAGTTGGGGACAATCCTTTTGGCTCTAGATCTGACCCCCACAGATCCTTTCCTTTCTTTGGAAATTTCATCGTTTCACGTCTATACTGAACAGCTAGTATAAATCGGCCTTGGAAGCAAATTCAAAGATTACAGCTTCTAGCTAGGTGTCAAAATCTATCAAGTTTCTAAAATTCTTTACAGATTCTAAGAGATAACACCTGGCATGTATTGAATTCCAAAAGCTGTAGGATGGCTTACCATGACAAGAACAAGTCTAGTCATGTTTTCATCCCTAGGTCAATTTTACAGTCAGATCCTTACAGTCAAGGCAGCCTAGATACTGATTATCTCTGGAGAGAGAATGTTAACTTTTTCTCATATTTACTTTAAAATTCTAATGAATCTATAAATAAATTCAGCACAACTTTTCAGTTTAGATGTACCCAACCACCTATCTGTGATAATATAGAACGTTGGAACTTGACTTACAGGTGTTGATCCTTGTTTCATTCACATTAACTACCAGTCTCATATAGTTGTCAGTGTTGTTTAATATTTAAAATGAATTTACTGAAAGTTCTAGTTACAAAGTTATAGTCATCATGTCCTTAATTAGAGAATACTGTAATATTTGCATAAATGGGCACACAATACTCCAGATACAATCCCTGTGATGGCTTAATTATAACAAATGCTGAAGTAAAAATATGAATAGTGAAAGAAAGAAAGAGTTCAGACGATTGCTAATTTTGATAGTATTTTAATAACCACTTGCATTATATAACTCTTAATATCTCCACATAAATATACTTTGGTTCAATCTTGAGCTCACCATCTAGAATGCTAAAGGAAGTCATATTGCTTTTTATGTGAGGTGGAATAACCAACATAAATGACCACTGAAATTTAATGTGTGCTAAAATTTATAATCAATAATTGTAAATGTATGCTTGCATCATTGCATCTATTTTTAATGTTGCCACTTTCAGCCTGAAGTCCAGAATACACTTTTAAAGTATTTTTAGTCAATAGCTGTTGTTAATTACTAAACTTAATGGAGTCAAATCTGTTTGTTCAAAGACTACATAGGCCCTGAAGAGATCCACAGTAATGGTCAGTTGAAATATCTTATTGGGGTCATTAATGCATGAATGGCTGGCATTTCAGCTTTTTTATTTCTTTTTATATTTTTGTTAAAATAGCAGTGTTAACATCATTTATCCAATTTGTTTTTTCATTGTGCTTTATTTATCATGTTGCACCTTTAACTTCATGTATATAACATATCATGCAAAAAACAAATTTTACAAAAAAAATTCTTTAAGCAAACATACATGTGTTAGAAGATGGTGATGAGTTGTTGTTAAGTACCATGGAGTTGGTTCCAAATCATAGTGACCCTGCACAGGGTTTCCGAGGCTGTAAATCTTTACAGGAGCAGAAAGCCTCCTCTTTCTCCCGCGGAACAGCTGGTAGTTTCGAACTGCTGACCTTGAGGTTAGCAGCTCAATTCGTAACCACTATGCTACCAGAGCTCCTTAAGTATTGGTTTAATCATTGTCAGTCATACCTTAGATTTCTACAAATTTCTTGTAAAGCTGATTTTTTTGAATCAACGTTTTAAATACTGTTATAATGCTGTATGTTTTAGGGTTTTTTGTAATTGTCTTTTTCCTCCTTACAGTTTGTAGATAAAGTTGGAGAAAGCAACAATATGGTATAACATCCAACAAGTGAACTGAAGACTCATTTAAAATATTGTATTATTTATAAAATCCTTTGAAGAATATTCAGCACAAAATTAAATTACATGAAATAGCTTGTAATATTCTTTACAGAAGTTTATAACGTATAGCCTACAAAGTACCAACAGCAATTAGCAAAGATGAAAAACAGGTTTGTTAATCAAATGACCTAAGAAGTCAGCAAGCAAACAGAAGGAGAAGAAATCTACGATACAATCTGTATTGAAACTCTTGAAGGCTATTTTTATTGTTTGTCCACAATGTGTGAAACACAGCCATCCTTAGAGAACTGTGGTGCCTGTTCCTTTTCTTTTTCTTTTGAAGGTGCAGAAGCATCGATGACATTGCTCCGTAGAAGAGCCAGTGCAATGGCAAAGTATTTCCAGGTGCATTGTGTCTCTGAAAGTGACGCATGAGTTCGATTGGATTATGTCATTTTAATGTATTAAAACCAAGGAGGAAACCTGTTTTGATGTATAAATCACTTTGGGGGTTTTTGTTTTTTGGGTTTTTTGTTTTTTGATATGTGGTTAAAATAAAACTTCTATGGTTCTTCTGAATCTTAATGTTTTAAAGGCAGATGAAGATCTGAACTAGATATTCTTTGTTGTAATATGCAAAGGTCACTATAGTTTCTACATTACAGCTGACTCAGCCCTTTTTTGGTCAGCAGTACACTCTGGAAATGATCATACATGTTGGGAGTCTGCCCTCCTAAGTATAGGTCTGTACTGTTCACTTAACAAATGGCACTACTGACCATAAAGCAGTCTGTTACGTGACTTGTCTCAGTGTACACTCTTTCATTGAATGATGCAAAAGTAAATGGATTTTTCCATGGCATGATATAGTTTTTATTTCTTTTCCCGCTCCATTTTAGCAGTATATTATATTGTTTTTCTGAAATTAAAATTACTTAGCAATGGTTACTTTAAAACGTGAGGTTATAAAAGGTTAAACTTGCCACTTTTTTTTTTTTTTTTAAGGGGTCTTCACCTAAGCTGGGTTTTCCCTTAATTTTTAGTTCTTTCATAACATAAAAATATGCATAATATGTGTATGTTTCATATGATCACTCTTCATCTCGAATATTAGAGAAGATGCTCAAGTCCACGTGCTAAAGCTATTTTACTGTAGTTAAACTGGCTATCATTTCTTAATAATATGACACTAAAAAAAAAGTGGTGTCTCTTCTACTATTGCTGCCTGACAGACACGAGGAAACGACATGGTTTCTTAGTTTTCCATGGCGGCAGCTTTTGGGGTAGATCTCAGAACACATGTCAGCAGCCACAGTACTACTTTATCACTATGATTGTACTATTTCCTTTTCTAAAAAAAATAATTGTGAAGATTTTTAATGTGTAAGATTATAAATGAAATCTCTGATTTTTTTTTATTTAACTTAAAAACCTGTCTACAAAATATACTACAGTTTATTTTATTCTTAAATTTAATCTCTTGATGCCCAGAGAACGCCCAACGTTGCTCGTCTAAAGGAGGAAAAACTTGGCATACCATCTAATGGTTCAGTCTTGTGGATTATAGTCTTTTTTTGTACTGACATTTGACTTATGATCTGTGAAAATGCAACGATATTGGAAAATGGAGACTCCTACCTCAATAGTTCATGGAATAATAAGAGACCTGGTGTTAACGTCTAATGTTCTTTCTTTAAAAGAAGTAATATCGCCTTCACTTGGAGAGTGTAAAGTATATATACACTTTGGGGATTGACTTTAACAAGGTGCCCTGTAGGACTCTAATATACATATTTTTGACTGACCTGTATTATTTAAGTGGTTAGATGAGTCTACCTTTTTAGAGTAAGAATGGTATGTGTTAATGTAAGAAACACCTGTATTATTTAACTCCTTTGTAGACATAAATTTCTACCAACATGTTGTTTGTACTGTGACAGAGATCCCTTTTTCATTCATCTAATTTCAGAAAACATTATTCAGAAGCATGAGGAGGATTTGAAAAGCTCTCAGTCCTTAGTAAGATGGAGAGGCTGGAGCAGTTTTCAGGTTTAATGAGCCCACAGTTAATATGAGTTTGTGACTGCTTGATAGCATTGTGTGTTTCTTTTTCAGCACCACTAATTAGGCTCCATTTTGTCTGACAGATAGCACTATACATGTATTATCTCTTCCTTTCCAAAAATTAGCCTTCTGTCTTGATGACAAAAATGTACTTCAAATTTTCTCCATACAAGGGGAGGAAAAGGTCTAATACTACTTAGCCTTAAGTGTTTCTGTCATTGTTCAAATGTATTTTCTGTAACAGAAACATATTTGGAGTGTTTTTCTTTTTCCCTTATAAATTGTAATTCCTAGAATACTGCTGCTTTTAAAAGTCTCCTGGTCAAATGATATGATCTAACAATTGAATATTGTAAATATACTTGTCTTACCTCTCAATAAAAGGGTACTTTTCTATTAGTTGGTACTCAAGTTTATCTTTATTATGAAATTCTAAAAATTAATTTGGTATTGCAAAATAACCTGCCTATTTTCTAAAAATTAGCCATATATATATATGTTGTCGTTTTTGTTATGTGCTGTGGAGTTGGTTCCGACTCATAGCAACCCTGTACAGGGTTTCCGAGGCTATAAATCCTTATGGGAGCAGAAAGCAGAACAGCTGGTATTTTCGAACTGTTGACCTTGCGGTTCGCAGCCCGATTCGTAACCACTACACTACCAGAGCTCCTTATATATACATATATATGTGTGTGTATATGTATATAAGTATTTTAAAATAGTTATCACATCTTTTTTCAAATTTCATTTTTAAATTAAATGGAAGCATAAATGCAAGTATTTTGAAATATACAAGAAAACTCTTTTAAAAAAACTATAAAAAGAGTAAGTCACTAACTTTGGGCAATGTAGTGTTAAGAAACTCTGCCTTTCAGGTCCAGTAACCATTTGATTGTTCAACAGATGTTTTCTGAGTACCTCTTGAACATTTAAAGGCCTGTGCTGAGTTGAGAAGACATCACTGGCCCATGAATAGTTCATAGCTTTAATATTACTCCTATATTCTTAGCCTTATTTCCTAATAACTCAGCCTGAATTTTAAACAATTAGTGGTGTGCCAAGGAATCGGTTCTGACCCCTAGCAACCCTGTGTAGGGTTTCCAAGGCTATAAGCTTACAGGAGCAGAAAGCCTCCTCATCTTTCTCCCGAGGAACTACTAGTAGCTTGGAACTGCTGACTATGCGTCTGGTGGACATCCTAACTTCTTTTCTCTCAATCAAGAGTTCATTGGAACTGTTCTATCTTCACCTATATAAGTGATTGTCATTTTCAAAAGGTGTCTTTGGAGGAAAACGTTTTAACTCTGGATCTTTTGGCTTAAAATGTGCCTTCCTTTGAAGCCATTCTTTTTTCCATTTTCTGTTTTTTTTGGGAGATTTTTGTTTCTTTTTTAGTGCATTCCTAGTGTTTCAGAACTGTCACTGCTGTCTGTATATTCAGAAGCCTGCTATAGAATTGCTGAAAGCAGTTATGATTGCTACCATTAATTGCAAAATAATTTTTTAAATGGCTAATGAATTTTAAAAATAGTGGAGAAAATGTTTGGATATTTTTTCCTCAAAGTAGAAGGAATATTATTATAGATGTATTATAAATGAAGCCATTAACATCTGTAGTGTTTCTGTCGTAAATTTTGGTAAAGCCAAAATTTGTGCTATCAAATTGATCCTCACTCATAGTGACTCTGGTAGCATAGTGGTTACAAGTTGGGATGCTGGCTTCAAGGTCAGCAGTTTGAAATCACCGGCCGTTCCGTGAGAGAAAGATGAATCTTTCTGCTTCCATAAAGATTTACAGCCTCGGAAACCCTGTGCACGGTCGCTATGAGTCAGAACTGACTCCGCGGTACATCACCACCACCACCACCATAGTGACCCTATGTAACACTATACAGCTGCCCTATAGGGTTTCCTAGATTCTATCAGCCTAAAGTGGGAGAACCAAATAGTGTGTTCTGGCCCTTGCTTACCATTTTCTTTCTGCTTAGCATTCCCTGATTTAAGAAACTTTAACTTTGCTGTTTTCAGCAGCTTATTGTTGATAGAGAAAAGAGAAATCAAAGATAAAGGAGGGACCATGCTCAGAACTGACTCCCTTTCTTAACTGGAAAAAGATCGGACACTCCTGGAACCCACTAGTCTTGAGACCTGTGTCATTTCTCAGTTTTCATTTTCAGTTAAATGAAACCTATAAAAGTTGATTTTTTTTATTTTTATTTTTTCCCCTATTGAAGTCTATGGCTCCATTTGTAATTGGAGATGCTAATGTGAATTAGAAATTGTCAAAACTGAAAATTGAGATGACAAAAGTCAGAAATAACACCCTTCAATGGTCTCATGCACAATGATGTGAACATTGCTTTGTTGTTAGGTGCCTTCCAGCCGGTTCTGAGTCATAGTGACCCTATACACAGCAGAAGGAAATGCTGCCCCATATTGACAGTTCTTATGTTTGAGCCCATTGTTGCTGCTACCATGTCAGTTCATCTTGTTGGAGCTCTTCCTCTTTTCCACTGACCCTCTACTTTTCCAAACATGGTGTCCTTCTCTAGGGACTGATCCCTTCTGATAATATGTCCAAAATATGACAGAAAAAGTCATGCCACCTTCACTTATAAGAAGCATTCTGGCTGTACTTCCAAGACATGTTTGCTCTTTTGGCAGCCCATGGTGCTTTCAATATTCTTCACCAACACTGTAATTCAAGTGCATTAATTTCTTCTACAGACTGTTATTCATTGTCCAACTTTAATATTCCTGTGAGATAATTGAAAATACCATGGCATAACTCAGGTGAACCTTGGTCCTCAGACTACACTTTTGCTTTTTTTGCAGCAGATTTGCTTAATGCAATACATGATCTCATTTCTTGACTGTTGCTTCTGTAAGGGTTGATTGTGGATCCTAACAAACTGAAGTCTTTGGCAACATCAAGCTTTTATCCATTTATTATGATGTTATTTATTGGTCCAGTTGGGAAGGTTTTTTTGTTTTCTTTACATTGAGGTGCAGTCCATAATGAAGACCAGTCTCTGATCTTTATCATTAAGTATTTTAAGACATGTTTTCTTCCTTTAAGAAGGTTGTTAATAAGTCTTCCTTCTATGCGTATTCTACATTTTTCATTTAATCCAACTTCGCAGATGATTTATTCAGCATACAGATTGAATAAGTATGGTAAAAGGCCTACAACCCTGGAACACACATTTCCTGATTTTAAGCCATTCGGTGTCCCCTTGTTCTATTGAACAACTGCCTTGTGGTCTATGTACAGGTTCCTCATGAGCACAATTAAGTGCTTGGGAGTACTCATTTTCTGCAGTGTTGTCCATTGTTATTATCCACACAGTGGAAAGTTTTTGCGTCGTCAGTAAAACATCTTTCTAGTATTCACAGCCATCAGCCAAGATCCATCAGCAT